CTCATAAATATTTTGCCTCCCAAACTCTCTTCATCACATATCTGAGAGTTCCAGGGAGCCCGAGACACACAGCAAGCCCCAAATTGAACCCATGATTACCTCTTTAAACTTGTCCGTATTCTTGATGGCATTCACAGAACTTGAGCAATTATGCTGAGCCCTAAACACTTAATTGCCATTCTGAGATAATGGAAATAGACTGTGACGTGTTTGGAGACACCTGGCTTCCAAAAGCAATCATGCCACTTTCGGATCTGTGTTATCTTGGGTAATTTACTTGATTTCTCTGTTCTTTCTATAAAATGATTACATCATATTCACTGCCTGGAATTGTTTTGAGGGTAAATGTGATTGTTTAGCACAAGAGTAGCATAATTTTCCCCATGAGTAGTAGCCTCTTCAATTTATTTTATCTTTTAATCTTTCAAGCCCACAAATTCTAACACGGAAATGGAATCGCGCCACTCTCCGTCTAATGGCATAAGCTGTTCACAATCTATGAGGAGGTGTAAAAGCGTTAGCCGTGAGTACAAAGCCTTTCATAATATGGTCCCAGGACTGTACTAAAAATAATATTAGAGTTTTCTGTATACTGACCAATGTCATAAATGCAATTAGGTTATTATCTTCTGTAGATACTAATAAAAATTACCATAAAATTAATGGCTTACTCTCTGTATAAGAAATTACCTGATATAAACCATAATGATAATAGCAGCGACTGAATGGTTGAGTGCTTAATTGTGCTAGTTGATAATGAGTTAAGTTGTTATACACATAATTTCATTTAGCCCCTTAACAACTTTCTGAGTGAAGTAGGTACTAAAAGTATTTAGTTTTATACAGTTTATCTAAAATTATATGTAAAGGTCAGTTCATTAAAAAGCACCCAAACATGTGACTTCATTTTATCACAAAACAAAGAAAATTATTTTATTGGCCTGAAGTTCAATAAAATCTATATGTCGTGGAATTAACGGGACAAGAACGAAGGCCCAATTTCTATTGTATTATTTTGTGTTTTAGGCTTCTCAGGATACATCTCATTGAAGAGTTAAGGTGATAAACTTTTGGGTTTAATAGAATTGTAAATAAAACATTACCAGCCCCTGCAGAACACCATCTTCTGATGCACTCTGTGGTAAAACTTTATCTTACATTAAATTTTGCATGTTGTTCCTTTCTCCTGTGAATCTGCATAAGTCCAGCTAACTTACTCTTTATAGCCCAGTATTGCTCTCTGTGCTTGCCCTCCATGCCTGGCCTTGTTCGTAGCTCATCTTCCCCCAAACTGTTACAGCCTTTCTGATCGGTAGAACTCACTTTTGTATTTCAGTTATACTGCTTGAAGTATTACTCATGACCCAAACAAACCCAACGTCCCTATAGAAGCAATGGTCATCCTTTACAACTCTGTGGTGCTATTTATAGCTATGCAAAACATAGATTTTTTCCTTTCTTATTAACATAGGTTCTCACCAAGGGCCTCAACAACACAAGGGACAGAAACAAAGGCTGGGAGTGTCTTCAGGAGAAATTTAAGTCCATTCCCCAAATTTACAAAATAAGGCATGGAAATCCTAAGATGTCAGTGGATTGGAGAAAATTGGTTAACTGATTGCTATATAATTTACCTTTGTCCTTCCACATATGTGTCTCAGTCATTTTTGACAAATTGGTATGAAAGTCCCAAGAGCCACAATTGAGAGAAGGAAGGGTTTATTTGGTTCACAGTCTCGGGGGCTTTTGTAGGCGAGTGGCCAGCTCCGAGGCAGGAGCACCGTGGTGGAAGGGTGCGGGGCAGCTGGGCTGCTTGGGTCCTGGCAGCTGGGCATCAGGCCTGAAGAAAGGGCAGCACCCAGTGACAGACCTCCATGGGCTCCTCTCTGGCCACCTTCCCCACCAGGGCCTCAGCCCTAACAGCACATGTAGCTGTGACCACGCAGGAGACAGACACAGAAGTGTGGAGTGCCAAGGATCCGCTCACCACGCCAGGGGTTCCTTAGTTGCTAGCCAGCAAAGAGGAATTCGTGTGGGAGGAGTGTATGAAACAGCTTCTCTGCCCTTCTCGGTGACTGGGGCTTCAGGAGGTCCGCCTGAGATCGTGCATGTGATTGCTGAGTTTGCATCACAGGGAAGGAAGGAGTGCAGGTCTTCCCTGAGCAGTGCAGGCCTTGGGGTGGGAGGTGAGAGCGAGCGCAGACCCACGTCTGATGGCAAAACCACGCTCACGTTAAGGGCTAAACGCACCTCTGACGCTAATGCCATAAAATACTGTTTTACTGGGGGAGAAACACCCCACATAACCCTCTCCATTTGTATAAAACGTGAGTCACAGCCACACGGCGCTTCGAGAGTCTGGGCTTTCCTATCTTGGGGAACATTAATTCTGTATCAAAATTTAGGAATTGTTGAAATACTACAAGGAACAGTGCAGTACTTGTTAGGTCCATTCTTAAGTTAACACCCTTCAAGCTATTCCAAAGTTAAATATTATTTGGCGACAATGGCAAAAACAATTCCCTGTGATTATTTAAGTGAGGTCTACTTAAAGCTACTGTAGTCCATTTGTCCCAAGCAAATGTACAATGAAACATTGTTTATTGAAATTGTATAACATTTCTAATGCTTTTGTAGATTATTTTATTTTAATTCTTTCATTATAGTTATCCTTTTTTTTTACTTCAGAGATTATTTTTAATCTGATTTCCTCCATGTTTCTGCATTTGAGTCTTTACTTCAGATGCTATTAATTCAGAGATTTCTTTTTTCATTTCAGAGGTTATTTCTGATCTGAGTTCCTCTATACCTTTCTGCAATTGTTTCTTTACTTCAGACACTATTGATTCAGACATTTCAGCTGTGTGCTTCCCCATTTCTTCTGTGCCAGTGTCTCCTGCACTTGTACTGGGTGGGCTCAGGGCCTGAGATTGCATTTTGCTCCTTCTCTTTGTCATTTTGTATGGCACTGTCCTCTGGCCTTTGGTGTAGGGCTTTGGTGCATTTACGACCTTAGCACCTACTAAAATTCGGGTGCAGATCTACGTAGTTTGAATTCATCGAGTTGTGCCTGGCTTGGGTCTGGCTGCTGCGCTCAGCTCCTTCCTGCTGCTGCCCTTGGAAGGGAGCCTGCTGTGCTCCTCTGGCAAGATGCTCTGCTCCTGGATTAGCTGGGTGGTTCTGGCCCCTAGACTCTCTGCAGGTTCTTCAGCTGCAGTTTCACCTCAGGCCTGCATGCCAGGCTGGGGCTGGATCTGCAGGGGTCCGGAGAGCGTGGCGGAAATTCTCACTCACACACATTGGGCTGGACCGGGTCTGGAGGGATCCAGTTGGCACAGAGGAGAACAGAAGCTCTCCCACACACTCTCCAGGCCTGGGTTCGGGCTGGGTCTGTTATTTTCTTTTAAAAATATACTAGGAGGTCAAAGGTAACAAGTGATTTAACATATAGTTGGTGTCTTTATCTTCAAATGTTCAAAGCAATGAAAAATGTATCTTTGAGTACAGAGCACATCATCAGAGGGAATGCTGAGTGTCCAAGGAGGCCAAGCGTCATCAGGAAATAGCAAGTGTGCCGAGATCAGAGACACAGTGACATTTCCCAGCGTGGAATGTGCACGGTGAGAGGACCGCTTTGTAACGTCCTGCGACAGCACAGAGAAGAAGGCTTTCCAGGGCTCTACACGTGAGAAGAGAGCTGGCACCCCTTCGAGGTTCACAAATGTTTGAGATTTCCACTGATAAAATTCTAGATTGTTGCCAAACTCTTTAATAATGCAGCCTCTATAAGTTGCATTTCAGAAACATTAAAATCGAAATGCGTTTTAGCTCCTGCAATTTGGCTTGTGCCCTTCCAACCCAGCAGCACGCTTCAGGGCTGCTCTTAGGTTTTTCCTTTTTACAGCCATTTTCTCGCGACTTCATTCTAAGGAAGTTCCAGACCAAAATAGTGCATCAAGAGAACTGGCACAATCAGCTTCCCCCAAACAGCTTGATTAATACTAAATATGTCCTAGTTCCTAATCAATTATGCTAATGACGTCGGAGGCTGCGCATCTGCCAGCCCCGACAAAGCCTGTGATCTCAGCGTCCCTGAAAATCCGGACTCTCCGGGAGCCACTCAGCGCTCGCAGCCTCCGGCAAGAACTCTGCCTCTTGGCACACTGAACACCGATGGAGGTCCCGGAAGGTTCCTCCCCTTGCAACGCTGCTTGCTGTTCACTTACGCATAGCGCTGAATACTAGGCTGCAATGTCAGATGAAATCGCTCTTTAAATAGAACACCCCAGCCTAAGCATCCCACTTAACAAATGACACTCCCTTTGCCAGGTGACAGATTAACAGACAAAACATTTGCTGCTTGGAGGATTCTGAAGCTCTGTGTGCAGAGAGGTAAGTTGGAGGCAAACATTTGAGTAGTCTGATGGTCGAAGTCTGCCTTGAGTTGGAGATTCTGAGCTCCTTGCCTTATGTCCATCTCCCTAGGGTGCGATGACTCTCACTGTTATGAGGTGTTATTTACTGACTTCCCCTGTGCTGTGAACATGTGCACAGGGAGATAGTCACTAGGTGATGTCATGTGAAATGATCTCCAATTGCATGAACTATTGAAGCCCAAATGTCAAAGGGACTATAACTCTAACACTTTCCTTTTTGGATTGAGCTTTGTCCTAACCTACATGCTGAAACCTTAGGTAAATGGCATATGAGAGTAACCATCCATGCGACTGCTACGAGCTTTTGTTGTTACCTTCTGTACAAACTCTGTGAAAATGAGACTAATTAACATTTTTAAAAGAATATTTAACTCATCAATTCAAAGTCCATATAGATTTAATCAAACTGAGGATACATGCGGCTTAAAACCACAAGTGACAGATATTGAAAAGTCATTTTTAGCTTAGAGAGAAATATTTAACAAGTTTAATTATATGAAGTAAACATTTAAATGGCTTTAATTATCTATTAACTAAGTTTATAGATTACCAAGTCCCATGAAATAAATGCATCCTCACCACAAACTTGCATGTTGAATGCTGACCCTCCACATGCCCTGCGAGGGACACGGAGAAGACAAGGGGCTGATTAGGGTTGGCTGAGCGCATGAGTAGGGAGCCGGTACTTTGCTAAGCAGACCTCCCAGCTTGCCCTGCTGTCCACCAGAGCAGGGATAGTAAGATGGCAACAGGCAGGAAGCCTCTGCAGCACCTGGTCCAGCTGGGACCCTGAGTTTAGATTTCTCCCCTCCCGGTTGTGAGAAACATCACGCTGTTCAAGCTTCCTCATCTGAGTTAACCATTATGACCACCAAGATGACTCAGAGAACAGGGCTGAGCAGAGACCTAAGAAATCCTATATCAAGAGGAAGGTGTCCTCACGTAATTCTCAGTCACAGGAGCCAAGAGATTGAGTGGGTGATGTGGAGGCCAGGACCCTCATGGAGAGCGTGGAAGCCTGCTCTGCCCAAGGTACCGCATTGCCCAATAAACAAGTGACAGGCCTGGGTGTACAAATGAATTGCATCCGTGCACCCTGTGAATATCCAAAAAGCAGTGTCTTTGGAGTCTTCAAGCAAGATGCTCGTGAGCTTTTCCCCAAATCACAGTGCCAAGTCACCAACCAAAAGCATTCTTTCTTTGTAGGTATTGCAATTCCCTGGGATATTTATTTAAAATTTACAACTGGTTAATGTTTAATTGCTTCATCAATCTTGCATCCCTATGTCTGGTAATCTGAGCCACAGATTAGAGGACAGGTTGGCATAATCTAGAAGTAAAAGATGACTCTCTTGTGCAGACCTAGAAGGGCCTTTGAAGAGGGTAAGATCTCTGGTTTTTTTTTTTTTTTTGGAACCAGGGATTGAACTCAGGCCCTTGTGCTTGCCAAGGAAGCGCTTATTCCACTAAGCCATCTCCCCAACCCCCTCTGGTTTTATTCTTGGTGTGCTTATAACTATAAGCAGAGTCAGGGCATGGTAGAAAAATATAAATAGATATTTATTTATTTATTTATTTATTTATTATATTAATCTCTAAATTTCTGTCCTTTAGACA